GAGATTCGTGAAGCTTTTGGAGGGTGATGTCCCTTTCCCTCACGCTTTTTTTTTTTTGGGGGGGGGTGAGGTTTCGGCTTCTAATCGGGTTGGGGGCACAGCGCATTGGGCTTGTGCATGATTTTTCTGGGCTGCAAGGTGCAGGCGGTGTTGAGGTTTGTAGGTCATGATTCTTCGGACACAGAATTCCGTGCCTTTTCTGGTAGCCTCGTCCTCATACCTAGGCAAGGACAAGTGCCAAGTCGTGGGGAGGACTTGGGGAGCTGTCTGGCCCGTGTAAGGGTGAGAGATGATGTGAGGTCCCAAGCGGTTTCGATACAAGGGCAGAAGCAGCTACCAACAGTGCTCTCAACCTCAACTCCTGAAGGCTAGTCAGCGCTGTGCAGAGTGTCGTGCACTAAAGTCTCTGCAGACCCTTTGTGTGGATATAACTTGATATAACCCAAGCAACACCCTAGGGCTCCAGCTTCCTAAATAGTAGGTTACCAACCATGTATTATATAACCCAGTAGCCCACAAGCCGTCATTCAGCTCACCGAAGCCCATCAGAACCCGAGGGACTGGCATCAAGTGTTACTTCCAGCGGCAGGCCGATCTCCTCGAGTGCTTCATCGCTTGGTGCGCCCGGGAGCTTAAAGAGGACTAACCTTGGAAAAGCCCTTGGCGAATCTTCGGACTTCGAGACCGTTGGGCCAAACTGAAGAACGGTTTCGCAACCATTGTGCCCAGAAGCCACAGCTGCGAGACACCGGCTGAAAACCAGAAGCCGGTCAAGCAAGAGGTTGCTTGGAGATGTCGAGGATGTAGGCTCCGATCAATTTACATACAGTGTTTTGTCTCCTTACCTGTTCTGGAGATTGCACCGGCGACTTGCGGCTCAAGCGGTGTCAGCAGAGCTTCACAACCCCCAGCTACCCGACGGATTCGTGAACATCATGGGGAAGGTGCACGGCAGTTTGGCGCGTGCCGGAACTTCGGCTGCACTTGGGAGCACTGAGGCTTGTTGTCGACATGCTTCGGGGTCTCATGTTCCTCTTTTGATTGCGAGGGTTTCAAGCCTGTGCCGCCGTGTCGAGTTCCAGCCTAAGTCGGCTTGGCACCGCTTCTCCCCCATGATCCCTTATGGGCAGGTAGAACCGCACTGCTGGGTGCGGTCTGTTAGTAAGTGTGGACACATTTACGTTGACCCATGGCAAATTAGGGTCGACACGGCACTTGTCGGCACTAGCGAGTCGAGAGCACAGGCAAGACTGGGGGAGGTTTCGAAAGCAACAGCGAAAGTTATAGGTTAGGCTCCGAATCTTTGGCCGCCAGCGTCTCCCCGGCATCTTCGACACGACCCGAAGAGCCAACCCTTGCAGTTCAAGCTTTGTCTTCAGGTAAGGTGAAGAACCAGACTCCGAAGGCGGCCTCGGGCGGTTGGGCTTGCCTCGGATGACTTCATGACTTAGTTTCGTGTTTGTGTAAGTTTGCGTGGCTTCCTGTCGTCTTCTTCCTGCAAGCACCCTTCCCTGGTTGTTGAAGGTCGCTTGCCAGGATGGTGCCAAAGGCATCCCCTCTAATCCCAATCTGCAAAGTGGTGAACGGCCGCGGTCCTAGGCCAGGTGCACAATATAAAAGCCTAAATAATTACCAATATTACTGTTTGGGTTCCTGATTATAGTTGTACTATAAAGGAGCCCAAAACCCCATTCTGATAATGAAGGCCCCTACATTAAGCTGCTTCTTTCAAGTGGGCTTTAGAGCTCAAGTCTATCTATCACAGCCCGAGCCACTTGAGTTGCGTGTAACAGTTGGGTCTGCATAACCAGAGTCGGGTTTGGATACATATATATATATATGTATACATACATATACATATACATATACATATACATATACATATACATATACATATACACATACAAACACACATATGTATATATATATATATACATACCATATCAGGTTATACCTCAAGAATTCAGAATCAGGCGCTCTAGGGGGCAGTGCTACTTCCGCTAAACCCCTAGACCCCAACCTTTGCAACGCGGGCTCGTCCTCCATATACCCCTGTTCATGGGTAGAAATGGTCCTGGTAGTTCCGGGTTGTTTTATGGTTATAGCGACTATATGCGATTACAGTATATTAATAAGGAAGGCCCGATACTAACTTTACATCTCGCAAGAGCCCTTTTCAGGTCGCCAAGGCCGAGAAGAAGAAGAGCCTTCTTGCGTTTGGAGGGTTGCAGGATGAAGAGCTGTTGGTATGGGGGCCTCAGTGAGAAGGGTGGGTTCTGGGATGTAATATGCACGCATGTCTATGTAGACACATACATACATACATACATACATGCATACATACACATATACCTGCGTGTAGCAGCAATTGTGAATGTTAAGGGGTCGTCAGGAAGGATACCAGTAATCATTGCAACAAAAGCTTCAGGCCAGTTTGTCACATGAACTTATAGTCTGTGAGTGTAGGCTTGTGACAGGAAATGCTGCCTTTATGATTCCAGAAGTGGGGCCGCTTCGTTTTGCTATGTTTTGTTGTGCTTCGGTGTCCTAGAATGCGTCCCTGCCTTTGTTTTTGAGATTTCCGCAACCGAACCATGCTTTGGGGTCTTGGTGCGCGAAAGCCCCTGAACTAGATGCCCCTCGAGTACAGTTTTGTCGCTATACCGGTCCAAATTTCCGTGGGCTGGGGGTTCAAGGATCTCGGCTTTCAGGCCCCAAAAAACCCTCCCCAAGGACTCCCCAGGTTCCGAAATCATCCTACCAACAATAGATCCCTTAAAGGGGGGTTCCTATAAAGTACTCTTTAGTAGTTAAGGTCCGAAATGATAGGGGCTCTACTTTTTTAGAACGACTCTCCGGAGCCAAGGAAGCTGACCGGCCGCGCCAAGAAGCGCTTCGTTTACAACCGACGCTTCGTGAGCGCTGCTCGGTCGAGATTCGAACCGGGGTTTAGGGGTTTAGGGTTTAGGGAAAAAGGTGGTGTCTTCAATACAGTTGATGATATAAATCCTGCGGCAGCCCATAAGAAGGAATATGCCATAATTCCCTTACCTTTGGGGTCCTTAAGGTGTGATGCCAGATGTATATCATCAACAGTAGGTCCCAACCATGCTTTGGGGAAGGTTGGGATCGAAGCTTCAACTTCAGGTCGGCGTAAAGCTCTTTCATTAGATGAACATCATAATAGTATTACGTATGTGAATCTCATAACAGTAATTATATACTATTAACTCATGAATGCGAATTATTTATATGTGTTGTGTTACCGACTGGGAAGGACAACAGCTCGACAGCCTCTGGAGAGGGAAGGGTGCATCTACCTCGGGTTGTCGGCAGTGTGCAATACTTCGTGAGACCCTGCTGATTACAAGGACAACCGAGGTCACCACCACAGTGAACGATCTCTGGGAAGAACCCCATGCAATCCCTTCTCCCCGCCATTTATTGTAGCATGCTGGCTGTCTTCCATGCCGCAATCCCCAACCCAGCTGTTGACTTTCATGGAACAGCGAAGGTCGTGAAGAGCGGACCAAAGCGTGGACCCAACTCCAACGCCGGAAAGTAGAAGCCGTGCTGGACCGAGGCCATGAGTAAGTCCAGGATAGCGGATCTGTAGCAAGGGTTTAAAGCCGCTGGATCTGCATCCATGAACCCAAAAGCCTGAGCCCTGTACCATTGCTCGGTCTTGCCTGGCCGATGCCAGAGCCTCGGAGCCTGAATTCTACAAAGCCCAAACTGCCATTGCCCAGGCGAGACTTCAGAAGCACCAAAACCATAAAACAACTTTTGAACTACCTGGACGTACCCTAGAAGAGCATATCGTCCCAAATCGTAGGTATTCAGGGTCTCATAGAGGGTAGGTGGAGGGCCTCGGTAAACTCTAGACTCTAGACCGCTTGAAGCCTCCCAAAAGGAGAACTGCGAATGCTCTGAGAGTGGCCCAGACCTGGACAGACTCGGTGCTGCTGATAGAAATGGCTATGCAAGATGTGCATTAGGCTTCGGGGTTGAAGTGGGTTCTGATTTGTCCCAAATTTCGCGTAAGCTTCGAAACTAAACTAGCGGTCTATGCAGACGTTGAGTCAGCGCTTCGGCATGTGCTGCTTGGACTGGTTTTGTAGTGCTTTTGGCTGTAACGGTAAGCTCTTGAATAATGTTCGGTGTGGAAAACCCTCAAATCCACCTCTTCATTACATTTGCAGTGTCCACTCGAACGGAACTTTCTCGGCTGTCGGCCTTATAGGGTCTAGGGTTTGTTTAGGGCTTCGGGCTTAGGAAAAGAGCTAGCTCGAGTAGTTTGCTTCTACATGGGAGACATGGGCTTGAACTCACCTCAGGGTTGCCTGAATCAGTAGTCACAGAGCCCATGCGTCCGTTTATTCGTCAGGAATGTTTGGGGTTTAGATTATAAGTTGGAAATCCCACAAGCCGTTTTTTGCATGGCCTGTACCCGCTCCGAAACTGGGACGGCAGCGAAGCAACTAGGAAGCCTGCCAGCTAAAACCCCAGCACAGGCTAGGTCTGGCTAGGTGAGAGGCAAACACAAACGTGCATTTACCAAGTTCTTAAGGCTTACCGCCTGGCATTCAGAACACTTCCTCGGACTTCCCCGAGGGGTCCAAAAACTGGGTACTTGGTTTTCGGATAGCGGTTTTGCACGCTAGTGTTTTGGGAGTATTTGGGAGTATCTGAATAGTAGGTACTTGGACCCCAGTAAGGCCCTTGAAGGTACCGCTGCTCCGGGGACTCGACGTCCCCCCAGGTCTGCCATGCGACGAACCTACCCTGGTGTCGCCCTCAGTCTGGATTTGGGTTTACAGTTTATGGGTTTCGGGGATAAATGGCAGCCCCCCTAAACTTCACTTCACTTCAGAGCATGAGGTCCAGTCGGTCCTGAGCTAGTCTAGATCGCCGAAAGCGCCCTAAATCCTAAACTTAAGTCAAAGCAGGAACAGAGCTTGACTGGAACAGCGGTAAGGTGCGACATTTCCTCCCCCAGCTGGGCGTCCGTTGCGGTGCGGCACTGAACTCACTCTCAGGCTTCTGCCCGTTTTGTCCGAATGTAGGCCTATAGTGCACGCTGGAAAGCAGCCGGCTTGCAGGTTTACTTACATGAACCTTCCGTCTAAAGTCTAAAAACTCTAAAGGATCTAAAGGATAGAGCTGAAGGTACAAAGCTCACGGCTATGCATCCTTTCGGGCTTTTCAGCTAGCTCGGGACGCAGGGATTCTTAGCCAGAACTTGCGGACACTTTTGTCGGTCGGAGGTTTCGCTTTCGGGTGTAGGGCTTAGCAAACGGATCTTCATGTTACAATGTTCGTCTCAGCCTCTGCTACGAATTGCTTCAAATCTTGAGTTGTGAAACTAGCTGATGAGGGGTGTGATTCGAGAGGATCTTCGCGACCTGTGCTTTGATAATATGCAGTCGACAGGCCCTTTCCAAAACTAGCAAAAGCAAGCTGTCTGATGCTGCTAAGGGCGCACAGAGTACACCCTTTAGTTCGGATGTGGTACTGCGCGCTTCCAGGCTGCTGCTCCTGGACTAGCCCGAGCCCTAGACGTAGTATTTGCGATTGACATCATGCAACTTGCTTCCATGACGGACCAGGGGAAGGAATCCAATGCCGATGTTGTCATACCAGATGATACCAGTCACACGTACAGGTTCATACATAGCCCGGCAACCGGCCGGCGTCGTCGTCGGAGGTATCCTTGTGTCTAGCAGTCGTAGTGAGTAGCGCGTTGGCATATGATACGTAATACTTGCAATAGTTCCAGTTGTTAGTGGTGCAGTTCGGGATAGCCGTCATCGATATAATAACGTCGTCGTCGTCGTCGTCGTCGTTGTACTTGTAGCAGTAGCAGTAGCAGTAGCAGCAGCAGTAGCAGTAGCGGTAGGAGCAGCAGCAGCAGCAGCAGCAGCAGCAGCAGCAGCAGCAGCCGCGGCAGCAGCAGCGGCAGCGGCAGCGGCAGCGGCAGCGGCAGTGGCAGTGGCAGTGGCAGTGGCAGTGGCAGTAGCAGCAGCAGCAGCAGCAGTAGTAGCCGTACCAGTAGCAGTAGTAGCAGTAGTAGCAGTAGCAGTAGCAGTAGCAGTAGCAGTTCTAGTAGTAGTAGTAGTAGTAGTAGCAGTAGTAGTAGTAGTAGTAGTTGTAGTAGTAGTAGTAGTAGTAGTAGTAATCGTAGTAGTCGTTGTCGTCGTCGTAGTGGTAGCACGCTGGCAGTGGTAGTGGTAGTGGCTGCAATAGTAGCAAGCAGAGTCATCATGGACATGTGTCGCGTTTTTTTTTGTGAGCGCTTGACATCCTCGCAGGACATTGTGGTTCGTGCGGGATTATTGTTTATATCGCGACTTTGTTATGGACAAACTTGGGTGTTTAGGGTTGAGGATTTTAGATTCGAGTCGATGGTTGGGTTTGCGGTTTCTGTTTGAGGTCTCAGGGCCTTGCTTAAACATTGACCATTTTGGGAAGCGTTTGTTGCTGTTTCGATCGCGGGTGTTCAGTGTTCAGTCGCCAAAAGGGCCATATCTGAAATGGAGCACTGCGGAGTTTTGCAACCCGCTGCACGAAGTAGTCCACGGCCGCCAGTTGAGGACTAGCAAGAGAATGGCTGCAATGTGCACAATCTATCGCAGATGCCTTGGACTTCAATTTAAGCTAAAGCAACTAATACGCTCATCAGGCTCCCAACTCCCAATGCCGCCCATCGCCCGAGGGTTATCATTGAAGGCTTGTCCTTGTGCCTCCGAGGAGCAGGTGGATGAGGACGAGGTGGTGTTGGAAGGAGAACCTCTCGAGCTAAGGCGACGGCTCTGGGCTGCGAGTGAGTGCATTTCGATTCACCAAAGGATTCCGAATTTGATTGCTACCTGATCAGCTGTAAGTTGTAACTGTTGGACTTTGGTTCCGGGTCGCCTCCTGTAGGAACGGCAGAAGCATGCACAGCCGATGTTTAGTTCATCAGTGCTGCACCAGCGCGGCCCTTGAAAGTGCAACCCCGAGTTGCAGCTCTGCACCAAAATGACTTTCCTCGCAATGTATGCCTTCCTTGCTGCCTGGGTTTGAGGGTGGAATGTAGCAGTCAAGGCCAGAATCTGAAGCGGGCTTGTCGAAAGCCCGTACCCGGTGCATCATCGTGCATCATTACGAGGTTCCTCAAATGCCAGAGGCGGCGAACTGTTAGCAGGTCGTCCGTCAAGCGGCACGCTGCTGTGCCTCCGGTTTCTCTTTGGGCCGGGAGCCCTAGGCCAAAATTCCAGGATTGCGACTTGTCGGGCAGCTAGAGTCACTATAGTGCACTATAGGTGAGTATAGTAGCTTTATAGTACAGTATACTATAGTATACTGTAATCCCAGATGCAGGCACCTAGCAAGCCCGCCGGGAAGCAAGGCTGTAGGGTTCAGGGTTGCTGCCCCCATACTTGTAAAGATCCGCTGAAGTGTCGGAAGGCTTGCGAGCGCATGCGGAATTCCTTTGTGTCTACCATTCCTTGCCGTTTCTGTCTGGAGGTCGCAATGGCAGGTTTTCGAAAGTCCGGCTGCTAATATTGGCCTGTGCCGAATTTTTGTTCGATTGTAAGACCAACAAGCATGGGTAATGTAGGAAGCTGATTAAGAAACCTGGCCCTATAACCCCGGTATAATAGGATTCACATCAAGAACCCAAATAAAGACGCAGGGCTTCTTAATCAGGTTCCCACATTAGGGGTGCTGTGAGATGTGTTGGGCGAGGCCGCAGGTTGGGCCTCTCTTGGTGGTCGGCTGCAAGGGTACATCGAGTTCACCCCTCGTGGCGATAGCATCCAGGAGCTTCGGACATTAACGGACAACTGCGAGTCACAAGCAACAGCATGGAGCCTTAGGGGCAACTTGAACTCCTGCCAATCTGCATCTGATCTTGACATTACAGCAAGTCGCCCAAAACCAACCACCAAAGCCCGAATTCCCATAAGGGTGGCATGCTCCTCTCCTACTGCGTCGGCCTTGTGGCCGTGCACCGGGCGGCGCTGTGGCAGCTGCCTCAGCTACCATTGAGAGTTCAGAGTGCAGGGGTCAGGGCTGCAGAGTGCGGGTCCGGAGCTCGTCGGAACCCTGAGAGACCAAATCCCCAGAACTAAACCGGTCTGCTCCGACCCGAAGGGTGATCAGCAAGACTTGTTGTTATCATCATACAGCTTGGTACTCGGTGCTCCTTTAGGGTGACAGTACTAACCAGAACCGCTGTGGCAAACGCATGCTTCCAGGGTAATGCAGCGATTCGCTCACCCAAGAGGAAACCTGAAATTGGAGGTTGAACCCTGGCTGGGTCCTTCCCCTAAGCTTCAAGCAGAAGTCGCCGGATGTCACGAAAGCCCGTACCCCGACAGAGTTCCGTAAATGCCGAAATCTCAGACAGCCTCGAACCCAAGCCCATTGTGCCAACACGATGCCCCTAAGCCTTCCCTCGATTCTGTCTAGCTGGAGGCTGGTCGACGAGTACTGGGCAAGTCGAGAGTTTGATCCCTTCGTGGTGCGCCTGCCCTCTCTTTCGCGGGCTTCGATCCTTTCTGAATTCCAGTGTGAAGTTTGTCCTGTTCGTGATACGAAGGGTCTGACAGCTTGGCACAGTGTTAAGCAGGCAGCCTGAAGCATCCACTGCGTTTACGTAGACCGACCCCGAATCAAAGCCTCAGTGCCAGAATGCAGCGACTTGTAGCAGTAAACCGACACAAGCGCGACACAAGCGAAATCTGAGGAGGCCAGGACCGCTACTCGCATCACCATGAGCACCACCAGCTAAGAATGAGGAATGGCCGTGATTTTTGTGTGTGTCCGGCTTGCATAACTACATAGCAGCTGCTTGGGCAAGCCGTGGCCGGACATGCTTGTAACACCATCCTGAGCGAACCTTCAGAAGGTCGGATGTAGTTGCCCCGTCTCGTAGATGCCCAGCAGATGGTTAGTAGGATTCTCACAGCTTGTCACCTCTTCTCGAATCGGGAAGGCTTCTGCACTAGTCACCTAGTCCTTGCCACTCTTGAAGCTGTCAACATAGCATGTAATGCGTAGCAGGGTCCTGGCCACAGCGTCTCGCAGGGGTCAATGGCTTCGTGTGGTTTTGGTCTTTGTTTTCGTAGCGTCAAACACAGTTGTATGGCTATTTTACATGACGTCCCCTCCGGCAGAAGCAGTCGTTGGACCACTTCCCCCTGTTCTTGCTGGTGCTGCTCGCATTTGTGCCGAGTGCCCAAGTTTGGGGCATGGCGAGTGTGAGGGCCTCTTAGAGATTTAGTGTGCCACCTTGAGGTCCAGAGCCTCCGGCCAGAAAATATCGGTTAAAATCACCAACTAGAACGGGGACGACTGGCATTTGCCACGACAGGTGAGCTTCTAGCACACTCGACACACTGGACATGCCTTCGTATTCCAGTATACTCCATTGCCGATTGCCAGGCTCGCATTGTTAGGCCCGGCGTGCCTTTAAGTTTACTCAGCCTAGGCATCTGTTGCACTGCAAAAGCAATGTCCTTGCCACTGCAACCGGCAGCAAAGACGTGCCAGATCAAGGAACAGAGCAGGAACGTCATGCATTTAGATTGAACAGACTGAGGCCGATCATGGTGGCTTTGAGCGCAGCCTTCTGGTCCCCGATCTTCTACCACCGGGTGCCTGGCCTGTCGTTTGGCTGTCGTGGTAGAGGTTCATCCTGCCAGATGATTCTTGGAGCCGTTCTCGTGTGTGTGTGTGTGTGTCTGTGTGTGTCTGTGTGTGTCTGTGTGTGTGTGTGTCTGTGTGTGTGTGTGTGTGGGCGTGCGCGCGGGTCTCTGTCTCTCTGTGTGTGTGTGTTTTTGTTTTGTGTGTGT